ACTTTCCCGCAGCAGTAATACATTTAAACATCCACGTAGATGACGACGAATGATAAACTGTTATCTTAATGTAATCAAAGTGCAATTTGGAAGATAACTCCGTGCGTATTTTTCGAATGACAATCAACGTTATATATGTTAAATAAACTTTTCAAGTTCCCAGAGTTAAAGTATGTTATTCACTGTCTACAACTTTCTTCAATTTAAAATTAAAGTTGGATTTCCGAAGAGAGAGCAAGACTGCTTTATGAAATTAGATTCAATTCATTAAGTAAACTTTAAACACTCTGTCGGAAATCAATCTCCACACAGACTCCCTATATACTTCAGTCACAACACTATACATGAGTTTGTCTGTCCGTCTCTACCAGCACACGCAAAGCTCTACGAGAAATTCAAACAAACTTGATTACCCATTACCCAAAGTACAATTATAAACATTGACAGGACTAATTAAAAGATGTAATTAACTAAGACAGAAAACTTTCAAGATTATTAAAGTTCTAATTAAGTAGAAGATGCTCCCTCTCACAGTCGATGGCGAATGACGAAAAACACACACAATATATATATATATATTTGAATTACACATTAGATTTCCCAACTTACCCATCGACTTCGTATGCACACCTTATTTCTAAACTTTAAACTGAACACGTCTCTTCTCCTTTTCTATTTATAATTGACACGTCTAGCTTAACAGGCACTCAAGTTTGTAACAGTTTAACCACTTAAAAATTTCGTAAACTAATTTGTATAAAATTCACCAAATAAGATATTCTACGAAATTAAAAGACGAGTACCGAGAGCAAGATCTAAATTATTGTCCAGTACTAATTTCATTTTTTCTTTTCATTCTCTTTTGGAAAGACCACAAGACAGGTAGTATTAAATCGTCATGTGAATTTTAGGTGAAATAAATTTAATCATATACGTACATCTATTCCACCGGTTTTATTTACTTACTAGTTGTAATCGGTGTTTAAATTTAAATCAATAAAGTAAGTAAATCTTTGTTTTATTAAACAGGCCTTACTACTCTCTTTTAATTGCGGCAAAAAATATTAAAAATAGACGAGACATACGTTCTGCATCACGCCCCCAGTAGCACAGCGATATGTCTGCGGACTTACAACGCTAGAAGCCGGGTTTCGATACCCGTGGTGGGCAGAGCACAGATAGCCCATTGTGCAGCTTCGTGCTTAACTTCAAACAAACAAACATTCTGCATCTCTTGCACACACACACACACACACACACACATATATATACGTGTGTGTGTGTGTGTGTAATAATGTAATACTTATAAAACCGGGCATCGTGGCCCACTGATTAGCATGATCCGACTGTGAATTCATGATTCATGACTCACTGTCAGAAAAATGCGTCCCGCACTGAGGCCAGGGATGTTGTTGACTAGCTGCATTCCTTCTAGTCTAATAGCTGAATATTAAAGATGAATGTGCGCAGACAGCCCTTCTGTATCTTTGATGAAATTCCAAAACAAGCCTATCAAATCATACTAACATTTTGCCGTCACTATTTCGTTAAAGTTTGACTTAAAAATATGAATATCTGTTACTGCTTCTTTTTTTCTATAAAGGGTTGCGTACATAATTGATTTGTTTCGATTAACATAACAAGACTTGGCAAGTGGAATAATGTTCTTTGTTGTTTTTTGTTTACATGCATTTTTCGAAATAACAGCTGCAAAAAAAAAAGTCTCAACTCTAGAACCTTAAAGCAGTATTCTGCAGCAATGCTACCAAAGTTCAAAATATCTTACACGTGTGATAATACTTGAGGTATTTTGCCACAATGTAATTGTTTTTATTTACAAAATATTTATATCATATTTATTAAACATATTTTACTTACATAAGTAAAGCAGAAATACTTTATCTCTGATAATGTGTGTGAGTGTAATTTTAAGGGTATCAAATCTCAGAATTAGAAGAGACGAGAAATGTATACATATGTATTGTTCATCCTTGTCTGGTTTACTCTTATTTTTTACAAGACTTTTATATTTCAAAATTTTTCTGACAGATATTTTTAGGAGAAGCAACGTAATGACATTAATCCAGTGGAAATTCACCTTAAACTCTCTTTCGGGATTGTTAACATATTTTTAGTCAATAAACTATAGGTTTCATTTTGATTTCTACGTACCTGAAGCGAAGTTATAAATAAGGCTGAGTATGTTATATTGAAATAATTTTGAATATGCAAATCAGCAATTCACGTGAAAACCAAAGCCAATACAAAGTCGCGGTAGAACGGCGTGTATTAGAACTACATTTCTACATTACTTGACGTTCCGTAGATAGTGTAATGACACCGAAAATGGGTCGTTTTTTGGGATAGGTAACAGCTCTTTCCAATGTAAAACATTCATATATTTAGATCATAAAGATATGTTCAGATAGGGGATTTAGAGTTTTTAAATAAATTTTTTTTGAATCAATTACGAACGCCAGGACCATCCAGAAAGAGACCTGCAACACGTGGTACCACAGCCATGGTAAGGAAAGTGTGGCGTTTTGTAACTGATGAGAATCCACCAATGCAAAGATCAGTGGCAAAAGTCACCCACGAGCCACAGGCAATAGTACACACAACACAATTAAGAAAGATCTCCATCTGGAAAAGCAGTACAAGTCACATGTGCATAAGTTGCTTTAACAACATATCTGTTAAACCAAAACATACTTCAAACAGCTGGAAAATGAAACGGGAATTAATATTATTCCATACGAAGATATACTGGTCAAGTCACTGGACATAGTGGCTATGAAGCTCTGTGCGACTGGACTGTTGAAACGGGCACTAGGAAACTGTTGTCCTCGTACACTAGATGGATTATAGAAAGTGTCAGTGAAAAGTGGTGTACTTTGTACATAACTGCCTTATGACGGAGCCACTTGCAAAGAAAATTATGCTGCAGGGCTACTGCCAAGATGTACGTTTGTCAGATAGAGCATGAGCTGATGCAATAACATGTATTGTAATAACGTGGTGACGCTCCAAAATCGTTATAATATAACTTACTTAACCTCTGTATGTTTCGGATTTTATTGTTAGTTTTTGCTTATGTTGCTCTGGTAAAGAATGGATGTACAATAGGATTTCTGTTGTGAATAAGGTCGGAGATTTTTGGATCCCGTTATTGCATATTAAAATTTAATATTTTGAGTGTTCCATCCTTAACTTGCTTTATTCAAAAACACACCTATATGAGTACATTGCATTAAAACACAGTAAAACTAACGACTGCACATATCTTCAGGCACTAATACGGCTTCTGGTCCCAGATCTTCCTTTATAATATATTATACTCATTACTACATCATTTTTTTTTTTTTACATTCACGAACCACTTTATACTTTTCAAGCTAGGTAATTGAAATTTTCAGCCAGAATAGCAACTTATACGTACATGGGTCAAAGGGCCAATTCAGTTTGTTTGTTTAGAATTAAGCAAAAAGCTACATAATGGGCTATCTGTGCTCTGCCCACCACGGGTATCGAAACCCGGTTTCTAGCCTTGTAAGTTCGCAGACATAGCGCTGTGCCACTGGAGGGCGGCCAAGTCAGAGGTTCCTAGAATCCAGTAATAGTAGTTTAGAACTACGGACCATAGAAAGGGCAGCCAGGCAAGAGAAGCCAATCCCATGGCTTTGTCTGACTCTTTGAACTGAGTAATGGAATTGACTGCCACTTTTATAACGTGCCCACAGTTAAAAGTTCTTAGCGTGTTCATTGGCATCACGTCTTCAACCTTGGATCGTGCGTGCCACTCTCAGCCTTCGGATAAAAAAATATTTCTTAGCTACTTAAGTTATTTTTTTGTGTAAAGAAGAAAATAATAACATTTGGATTAATTAGCATAGTTACACACAAACTTATGACTGTCTCTCATAAATATTTAAGTATATTCAAACTTACTTTTACCATATCTACTGATAAATATTTCCGAGTTGTATCGAGCTTTTAATTGGATCTTGATTCTGAAACCTCTTTAACTGATTAGTCTAAAGCTACAAATTATTTGAAGTCTCTATAATAATACGGATTAGGCTACGGTAATTAGTGCTCATGTCATTCAAACACAACATCACACAAGTACATCTATCGATCGAACTTATAACACATAGCTGTAAAAAAGTAACAAATACTTATATTACAACATGATGGAGCACGCTTTGATACATTTCTGCCCTCTCCCTAAATTCCAAGTCATCTGAAATGTGTTCACAATAATTATATTAAACAATTCATAACCTGTCCTAGAACCATATCTTTAACAGAGACTTCTTTTCCATCGTCCATAAGGGTAAGGTGAGAAAGTTTATGTAATTTGTGGGATAGTCATAAACTCACGATCTTTACGCCTTCACCACGTTCATTTAATATAACATTGCCAATTTCCTCCCCTCTTTTGTTATATTTCTAATTAATGTTTGATAACCCTTCTTCCAGCTGATGGATAGGCTCTTTCAATGTTTCTCCAAATTTCTGGTCACTTTCCTAGTGATGTTCTTCTGTTTTTCTGTCATGTTCTTCCAACGATGTCACCAAATTAATCTGTACAATGCTTTCAATCGGATTATTCTGGACTGACAGATTACATCCAAAATCATTCCCCAATTAGTTTTTCTTCTTTTTTTCACACTTGTCAGATTTGTTTAAAAGCGCAATCTTTAGTTTTTAAATTATTTACATACACTTCTCGGTGTAAAAAACAACTATATATATATGTGTGTGTATATATATATATATATATATATATATATATATACA